AAATCCACAGTAGCCACAATTTATAACCGAAATGGCAGAAGTCATACTTCATGCTGCCACAGCGGCTGCCTTTATATCACTGTCTTCTGAATGAATCGTTATTACTGTTTATATGTTTTTAAATTCACATTGATGCACGCGGTAATAATTGTAATTATATATCACTGAGACTATAAAGAAATAGTAATAAATCATTTCTCTAGGAACTGGCCATCGCTGACTCTTATTGAAGAACAATGAATATTTGTTTTTTTTTTTAAACTTATTTCATAAGGGATTGCTGCTTTAGAAGACTTCTGCCGTCAGTGGTCTGTGAAAGCCAATGGATTTTTCTTTAAGTGTTTTATGGTGTTAATAAAGGGGGTAACTGTGATGTATTTGAACACTGGATTCACTCACTTCAGGATTTGCTGACTTTAATTCTTGGAGTCGTCGGTTTGGTGTCACGGTGCAAAGAGGGAAGAGTGGCGGGGTTACGAGGGATCGGCATGAGGCCGACGGCTTCTCGGCCGTCTCCTCGCAGCTCATTTTTATTTTTGCTCTCCGGGTTCCGGCGTGTTTTATTTTCTTGCTGCTGAAACCCTTGGCGAGGCTTGGTGCTGCTTTCGTCTCGCTGCGTCTCGCGTAACAAACATCGCGCTCCCTTGGCAGAGACCTCCGCACAAACGGGAGCGCCCGGAATGAATGAATCCCTGCTCTGATTAAAAAAATGTTAACGAATAGGTAGCCGTTCCGCTCAGGTTGCTTTTTCATTAGTCAGTTGTTCACAAAACTTCTGTCGACTAATGTATGGGCGTTTGTGTTTCATGGAGACCCGTAAGTTAAAGGTGCTTTTCCTCGTACAAGAGTCTCTACCCTGTAAAAATGCCTGTAATAGCTCATCAGAGTTGTTCTTATATATGGCCTGTTCTAGACTCTATTATATAAAGAATGGCTTCTTGCGGGAATCAATCGTGCGTTCTGTGATACTTGTACTAGTTATTAAAATGTTAAATTACTGGACTCCACTTAAATGCTTGTTCGCAAAAAAAAAAAAAAAAAGAAACGGCGCAGGGGAACTATTGGACTTTTTTGTTATTTATCCTAGATATCGTCAGAGGACCGAATGGCAGGTCAGATTAGCCTCTGGACAAGAGCTTCTTCACTACCTCAGTCTGGCCATGGCCTTCTGTGTGTATGTCCCTCACAAAATGAGAGCATGTGGCCAGAAGGAGCAGGAGCTTACCCCATGCCTAGACAAAGCTCCTAGCTCAGGATCTGGCCTGTTGGGATAAGATGGCTCTTTTGAATAAAACCTGGGGTATTGTTTTGCAGTAATGCTGAATAGCACTGGACAGATAATGGCAAGCAAAGCCGACTCCTTGGTCACCTGCTTAACTTGCGATTCTAATTAAAGCTAGATCTTAATTTTTTATATATATTAACATATATTACATACCTTTGCATGTCTGTAATATGAAATTTTTCTTCTAGGTGATCATTTAAAACTGGTCCTTCCACCATTTAAGAAAGCAGTTAAAAAAAAAACGCTACAGTCAATTGTAGAGTAAAGCGCAAGTAGACCTGAATGAATGGAGCAGTAGATAGAACCAGGTTCAATGGACGTCGAGGAGGCGTTGGCAGATATTTAAAATGTTTTTAACAGGATAAAATATAAAATTCAATTTTAATTATAGCGCATATCCAGGGTTAGCATAATGAAAAACTACTAGCAGGTGGAGTCATGCTAACAGGGGTGAAGTATAAGGGATGTTTCTTTGGCGTTTGTGTCACATAGCGGGTGCATGACGGTGCTCTCATTTCCTGTCCCATCTTGAGGACCCTCTTGCCTTTGTGCTGCTGTCTCCGGTGACTGGAACCGTGGCAGCGCCGTGCCGGCAGACGCCGCCAAATGTCCCGCCGTGGTGGCCGCGCTTTTCCCGCCGCGTGCCGCTAGCTGTAGTGTACCTTCTCACTTTTCCATTTTATGGTGTATGTCCAGCTTCTTCTTCCCGGTTTCCTAGTGCCCCTTTATTACAGTAATATTACAGTAACCATCGAGGCCGCAAAATCTTTTTGGGGGCGGAAACACCTGATTGCTCTGGCACACCACAGAAGAACAAAGGAAAGATGACAGCTCTGTGATTTCGGTGCTGGTTCGAGGAGGAGTATAGCTCCACGAATGCACTGTGATAATTAATGGGCCATAGCATAGCAAAACTTTGGGACTCTTTTAGTGTGCTGAAGCGGAGCAGGACACCAAGGAATGTGCAAGAGTGGCACTAGACGCAGTCCTATATGTGACATGTTGTCTATCCAAACCTTGAAATGACTCTGCCAGTTGAGTTTGATCTCATTTGTTTGTACAGAAGTCACAACACTGAACTGGGATGTTGAATTAAAAGTCTTGGTGTGAAGGAAGTTTCCTAGGCTCACGCTTTGTGTGTTTTGTATGGCTTTGCTTGTAGTAGTCTTGGCCTGGGATGAAATGGATGTGGTTGGCTTCCTGCTTTGTGTGGTCCTGCAGTATTGTGCCTCCTAACTCCACCTGGTTTTTACAATGAGATCCACTTACAAGTGAAAGGACCATAGCTCAGGTGCGAAAGAGACCTGTTCACGCTTCCGAGTTGCAGAGAAAATCCACGGAAAGGAATGTGCTTCCTGCAGGTCTGAGAGCACAAATAAACAGAATGCAGGGGAACTGGACGAATCAGGGCTGTGAGGTAATTCGTTTTCTGTTTGTTTATTTATTTTTTGCTGTGCAGGTGAAAAGAACAGCAGGTATGCTGTCGATGAAGGATACGTTTGTTTATTTGATGGATTATTATTTTTTATTATGGATATGCTCCTACAGGCTGCATTCGTTGTCTGTGAAATGCATTTAACATCTCTGGTACTCAGTCTCATGCCAACTTTGTATATGTGTTTCAAAATGGCTATATACCATATACTGATGTATTTATTGGGGGGTATTTGTTTCCTCCTCTTTGTTCGTGCGGTAAATCCGGGAGCAGCTGCTGGTTGGAGGGTCTAGTGGGATTTTGGGGCCGTGTTTTCTCAAGCCGTTCTGTGCCAAGGCAGTGTAGCGCCAGCGCCATGCGATGGGGGGGGGGTGGCAGTGCCGCGCGTGTGGTTTGCGGCGACGGTGGCCATGTTGGATATGGCGGTGAGAGAGGTGTGTCAGATCTGCGTGTGAAAGTGCTCCCAAACTTTGCCAATGCATCGATAAGAAGTTGCTAGGCTTTCACAGAGCATCCGCTCCCGTACCAAATGGCGTCCGTTGCGCGGACGCAAACGCACACGGGCGCACAAGCGCGCTCTCTCTCCCTCGCCACACACACTCTCACTCTCTCCGCCACCGACCTCCCCCCCTCCCCCTCTCTCTTCCCTCCCTTTCAGCTCTTGAAGCTAACGCATTGGCTGGGCTGTAGGCGCCTTGTTGCCAAATAGGTGGGGCCCTCCTCGCGTTGGCAAAGGCTCAGGCAATGGTTAGGGAAAGATCGTGAAGAGGACGAGAGAGAGAGAGTTGGAGAGGAAAGGGGGAAAAAGAAGCAGCACTCTCGTTTGCCAGCGGCCGTACGCGCTCTTCCAACATTGATTCGGTTCTCTCCTTTTTTTTTTCCATATTCTCCTCACCCCCCATCCGTCTTTCTCTCCCTCTCTCCCTTTCTTCGAGTCTTATGCAGGGCCCACAGTTCCGAGCAAACACCAATACCACTTATTGCTTTGCCAAGGATTTTTTTTCTGTCTTTATTTAGCTTTTATTTTTTTTTATTTGGAAACCGCAAAAGAAGCGGGTTTATTTTTGGTGATTGTTTTTGTCTTTTTTTCTCTTTTTCCAAGTTGTTTCTTCACTGGCACTTGACATCAGCTTTTTTTCTTTTTTTTTTCTCTCTTTAAAAAAAATATAATCTCCACCCGTGCCACCAGTGATCTTTCCTGCTGGTGTGCTGCACCCCCTCCCGTGTTTTTTTTTAATTTTAATTTAATTTTTTTTACTTTAATTCTCATTTCCATGGACAATTGAATTGAGTGCTTCCTGCTTTTTTGCCACATAAATCTTTTTAAACGTTTGGCTTTTCAATGCTGACTTTCCTCCCTGGTTGCTCGTGAGCTGGGGATACAGCTAGTATCTGGTGCAGGATACTTTTCTCACAATCGTCGGGCCGAATTTATGATGAGAGTGCAAAATGGTAACTACCAGGCTGCCTGATATTTTTTTTTTTGTGCTGCTGTTGTTTTTCTTTGTGCATTTAAAAATTAATGCAGATGGATTAAGCTGCAGAAAATGGAGGAGATGTCCAAAGGGCAAAAGATGTTTTATCCGCAGCTTACACGCGCTGTGGGGTTAGCAGCGGCTAATTTGGCGAGCGTGGGCCGTGGTGTGGCGGCTGTGGCAGTGTGATGGTGCCTTGGAGTTTGGCCGCTGAGAAGTCAGTGTGCTGTGGGATAGTTGAACGGATCCTACAGCGGGCATCACATAGGGCCACCGTGTGCAATTTGAAACGCGTTAATCTCTGTCATCTTTATTTGCTCAAACATTTTGCAATCCTTAAATTTTGAAGTAACCTTTGTCTTTAATTTTCTTTTGCAACTACAAAAAGTAGCCTGTGAGAAAGTATTAAATTTTAATAATTATATATTATTTATTTTCATTTATTTCTTTCAAATAAATGTGTTTTGTTTTGAGACACAGTACAGTCTAATTATTGTAATTGTTAGGATATAAATTCCATATTTAAAATTAATAAATACAAGTATATACATCCTTTAAGCTTAATTAGCGAGTGTTTTGTATTTGTTATATTTGGGATTAATTTTCTTGTTTCTGTGGGTCGTTAAAATGTCTTCACTCTTTCTGGGTATAGGGCATCTTTTTCTATGTTGCATTATTGTGGCATTATTTGCACCTTATTTCCTTTGCTTTTCTTTTCTGAGCTAATTTAACATGAGGTCATACTTTCTTAGTACTTGTTTTGAGGACCCTCCATAAGTTTGGTCTGTCCCTCTCCATACCGCAGGATGAGTTCCACCCCTTCATCGAGGCCCTCCTGCCGCATGTGCGTGCCTTCGCCTACACCTGGTTCAACCTGCAGGCGCGCAAGCGCAAGTACTTCAAGAAGCACGAGAAACGGATGACCAAGGACGAGGAGCGCGCGGTCAAGGACGAGCTGCTGAGCGAGAAGGCCGAGGTCAAGCAGAAGTGGGCGTCCCGGCTGCTGGCCAAACTGCGCAAGGACATCCGGCCCGAGTTCCGTGAGGATTTCGTGCTGACCGTCACGGGCAAAAAGCCGCCATGCTGCGTGCTGTCCAACCCCGACCAGAAGGGCAAGATCCGGCGCATCGACTGCCTGCGGCAGGCCGACAAGGTGTGGCGGCTGGACCTGGTGATGGTGATCCTCTTCAAGGGCAGTCCTCTGGAGAGCACGGACGGCGAGCGGCTCATCAAGTCGCCCCAGTGCTCCAACCATGGCCTGTGCGTGCAGCCACACCACATCGGAGTCTCCGTCAAGGAGTTGGACCTCTACCTGGCCTACTTCGTCCACACGCCAGGTGAGCGGCAGGGCCCCAGTGCCTCCCTACACCAGCCTCTTCTGGCAGCGTCCTATAGCTTACAAGTTGCTTTTCTTACCCATGTCCTAATTCCCTCCGCCAGCACAATATGTACCAACACAAAGCAGAAACAGAGAAACACAAATGCAAAAATCTGACAGTGCTGCTAAATGAATTTAAGCATGGCGGTGTGTCAGGGTTTTGCTTTTCTTTCCCCGTGTGCCTCACTTCGTACCTCGCTGTGCGCTGACAGCTGGCCTGAACCCAGGCCCGTGCGAGAGGCGAGCGGGAGCTGCATTTCTCCGCCCGAGGCCAAACTTCAGCTTCCCGCCAAGCTGAGCCGAGCTGAACCGAGCTGCCAGACGCGACAGCGTGCTGTTGTCTGTGCCATTGTCCGTGGTGATGTCCGTGGTGATATTCGTGGTGATGTCCATGGTGATATTCGTGGTGATGTCCGTGGTGTTTTCTGGTTGCTCACCAACTCTCTTAGTCAGTTTGGTCTGTTTCCATTTACCCACTTTGGGTGAAGGGTAAATTTTACATGCCGCGAAAATGTAGTTCAGGTTAGGTGTTACAAATTTACCTTTAATAAATTACTAGTAAAAAATGTAGAATTCATTTTACCGTAGGCTGCAAATAAATATTATTAAATGATAATTTAATACTTTAAAAATTGCTATTATTTTTAATAAATTAAAGGTCAACCAAATAATTGACAACAAATGAGCAATTCATAATATTTTAAGTTACTATTTTCATATTAAATTAATTTTGACTTTTTAATTATTTTCAGTTAATATTTCAAATTTTGTATTTAAGAAATAAGTTTGAGCATTCTTAATTAAGATTTTCTTAAGTCCTATATTTTTATGCAAAGATATACTGAGACCTTTATATCTAGGAAAGTTATAATTAATTTATCTGTAAATAAGCTAATATAAAATTTAGTGTTATCCCAGCTAGTGCCAGAAGGTAAAAAATATTATTATTGTGTTTATTATATTTTATTATTGGGAGAATGGATTATTGTCATAAATTAATATATTTAATAATAATACTTTTAACGTGCATTAAAAAAGACAGCGTTACATTGCACATGCAATTAGTATGCTATGCGTAATAAATTATGTTGTTTAATAATGTGTTCTAAACATGCATCATTATGAAGTTTTTAAAATAATTTGTAATACCAGCAGTCACAGTAATAGTCATCTGAACAGCTAACCCTGCAGGTTTGTAGTGTGTTACAGACTTCGGGGACTCGGCCTCTTAGGCCAGCATAGTGGCGACGGGCAGCCCGCATCCCCGCGCTACACCGACACTGTTACTGCACATGGAGAGCATCACAGCTATGCGTTATACCCCTAATGTAGGGGGCCTCGGTCCTGTATTCACCCGCGGTAACTGCAGCTCAGGTCGGCTCCTGAGGAGATCAGCTCTAGGCGGCAGGGACATTACTGTTGCCTGGTGCCAGCCTGCCCCCCACCCCCTTAACAGCCCCAGCCCACTGTTCCCCTTTCTTTATGTTTCCCGTTGCCCTCCAGCTCCTCCCGTAGTGTTTTGTGTGTATCTATTTGTGTGTGGCTGTGTGTATGTTTATTATGGGTCCAGTCCAAGCAGACAGATTTTGGTGGGAAAAAAACTCCTTTTCTTTTATCTCGTTTTGTCCCTTTTTGTTTTTAGAAAGATCCCGTTTTCATTCTAAACATCCTCTTCATTATCACCAGTTTATGAGTCGGCTCCTTTGGTCCCTTTGTTTAAACTGGGGAGGAGAGGCAGAAAGTGCTGGGCTGCGCCGGGCTTGTCGTCTGCTCTAGGGGAGTGTCTCTTTCGGTATGTAACGCAGCGGTGAGGAGAAGTCCTCAGTTGGGCTGTTTCTCATCTATTCTTTTTTTTTTTTTGGTGCAAAGAAGCTTTCTACCATCCCAGTTTAGACAAAAACAATGCATCTCTTCTTCTCGGGTGAACAGAACCAAAGGAACAGCTTTTGTGTTTTTAACCTGCATGGTTAACTTACAGAGAGTTTACTTGCATGCAGGTGGATGTTGGGATGGAATAGTGAGCAGTGGGGGGGGGGGGCTGTTTGATGGAAGCCCCCACAGTTGCAACTTTGCAGTTTTATTCTTAGCTGGAAGTGCAGCTGTCTGTCTTTCGGAAGCTATCGATTGCCTGTCCTGTAATTGCATTACAGCTGTCATAGTGAGGCTTGCACTGGTGAGGGCCTGGGAGGGGGCAGTGTTGGGGGGGGGTCACATATCACTGTTACCGCCTAGTGGCTGTTTTGACACAGTAGGGTGACAAGAAGGCCAGTTCCCATCGCCTTAGTTCTGTTCAAGTAGTAAAGCGCTAGACTGCTTTTAATCTGCGGCTGTAAGTCCAGGCAAAGCAAGGAGCATGTTTGTCAGTCTGACCATTCTCTGTTATCCCAATGTTCCATTATCGCTGGCTTACTGTTGTTTTTTGGGGGGAGGGGAGTCACTTTGAAGAGATTGTCACCACATGCATTCCCAGACAGTCCACCGATGCTAGGAATCATGCCCTAAGAAGTGGGCCCATTTCGAGGTTGCATGAGCTCCAGTGTAGCCCTGCTGCTTGGAGCCAGAGAAATAATGAGGGAAAGGTAGAGTTTGCTCATCAAGGCGCAGGGCGAGAGTATCGCCGCTTTAGGGACAGTTCTGGGTGTGAGAGTTCTTCTCCTGTTTGACACATAGCATCACTGAAAACCCACGAGCCGTCAAACACCCCGTTTGGCGTGTCAACTTCATTTATATCAAACTGAAACACCTTTGTTTCTTGTACATCGAGCACAATCGTTTGGATGTTTGCGTAATATGCTCTGCTGTGGGATAAATGGCTGAATGGGCTCTAAGGTTCTTTGTTCTTATTTGTGAGACAAGTGTTTTTGTTCGAGCAAATACGCCAAACAACGGTGATTGAGTGCAGCAAATAGTGCCCCAGGCTGCTTTTTGTTATTGTTTTCCATTGAGATATATTTTTTTTTATAATTAATAATTTCAAAGGGGAAACACCTTTTATGCCAAATATCAATTCAAGAGAAATATTCCGCTGTCGGCCGACTAAAAGCGCTGCTGAGTTTGGATTTGCCCTGTCTGTCGTGTTGTGGGAATGCATCCATGGATGGTGGTGCTCAGCCTGGTCTTGTTACAGATCCAGACATTCGAGTATTAAACCCGAGCTCCCCTCTGCTGACAGGAGTGACCCGCCAGTTCCCAGGCGAGGGGACGGGGTCCTAGCCAAGCTCCAGACGATGTAAATACTAACATCGCTAGAGGCAATGAAGCAATTATAGGAGTGAATGAAGAGATGCAGATAAGAGAACAGAGAGGAGGAGGCCTCTCCTTCGCAAAAACCGCACATGAGTCATGGACATTATGGAAGAAAACGAAAGGACTCCAGGGCGTGTCCAGAACCTTGGAAGCCAAAGGACTGACCTTTGACACAGAGTAGTAGGGAAAGAAGAACGGCATGCTGGGATTCTGCTTTCTAAAAATAAGTCAACGGTAAACCAAAAATTATATTGATGTTATATAGAAAGCGAGAGGTTGCGGCTGCGTCGGAGCTGTTTGTGAGTGCGGTTCGCTGACCGCTGTCGTCCGGTCTGTATTTGGCCATGTCGTTGACATGTCTGCCCTGGCACAGTGACCTCGAAGGCCACATTTCCCTCAGCAATATAAAATGCGCTTCCTGCTTGTTCCCTTTACATTCGCATACCGAGACTACAGGTCTGCTGAACACATTACCACACTGCCCTGTCCTGCCTTTCATTTCTGTCGCTGCACCCTCTTCAATTAAAATGCACTTTTTCCTACAAAGAACGTTACTTTCCAGGTGCGTCAAGTGGCTGATTTCTCAGGACTACATTAACGCGGCGTTAATAACGAGCGGTGTTAATAACGAGTGGCGTTAATAATGACAGCAAAATATTGCCAGTCTCTTGATTTTTGTTTTTTTTTTATATGCAATGCATATATATTTTAAACATCATCTTTAGTTATAAGTAACATGGCTTGCCAAATTGGTTGTATCGAAAATTTTAACTAACTTTAATAATAATAACAATAATATTCTACCCTTCCATCATAATAAATGACTGACTGAATTTCCTTCAACTAAATCACTTCTGTGAATCCCAGCATATTGAATATGCAGATGCAAATACAAACATTATATTGTATTCTACTAATGATCAAAAAAGTGGTCTTTATCTGTAGGAATGCCATATTAAGCTCTGTACAACAATACCTCCGTGTGTACTGGTCAAAGTAACTCAGAAGGGGGTAAAAAGAGACTGAGGAAAAAGCATGGGGGGGGGGGCATTGTCTTTTCTAGTAAAGTGTCCTCTCAGTGCCTGGCTTGTTTTAGCCTTTTGTGCAGACACCAGGCGTGAAATCCGTCTGTCCCCAAAAGCATATACCCACACAGGGGGGGTGAATTGGCTTCCGAATGAGAGAAAGAGAGAGAAAGATACAGATGAGAGAGAGAGAGAGAGAGAGAGAGAGAGAGAGACACGGGAAATCCTGGGCTAGGATTGGGTGCACCGTGCACAGCTCAAACACAGTTGACATGAGGGCTACTGTTTTGATCTTAGCAACCGCAGAACACCAGAGTGGATTCCGTTATTACATCATAATCAGTGTCCCTCTGCGTGTGACAGAAAGGCAGATTTATGAGGACGGAATGCCAAAAAACCAGAGGTATACTGCAATCATAGTGGAAAGCTCAAGAAACCATCTAAATAAAATATTGAATTCTGAAATGTCGACTTAAACAAAGGGGAGAAGGCAAGGGGGAATAATGGCAGTGTGGCTGGTTTGCTGTTCTTGGCACTCATCTGCGTAGCTGTGCTGAGATGGTGCCAACGTTTGAAATCACCACGCTGTCTCTGCCAACTCCCCCTCCTCCTCATCCTCTCTTTCTGTCTTTTTTTTATCCTCCTTTTATTATTCTTCATTTTGATGCCCACCCCCACCCCACTGTCT